CCAATCCAGGGGCGTCCCGAGGCCAGGTGTCACCCAGTCTCTAGACCGGGTGACACCCCGCCGTGTCATGCCGCCGGGTCCCCTCCTGTCTCCTGACACTGTCGGGCTCTCAGTCCATGACCAAGTGCCAGACTTTTTAGACGGGGAGAGACCAAAAATACTGTCAGTCATTTTGGTGTCACCCCTGCAATGGTGTCACCTGGGTGCGGGCCGGACCCCCCTTGTGACGCCACTGTTCCAATCCCCTCCGTGGCTCCAGGTGTATAGGACGAGGCACCTCGGCGCGCAGACGCTTCTACAGACATTGGTGAGAGAACGGGTCGCTCTCAGGAGCTCAGTGACTACAAGCGCGGTGTCGTGATAGGTTGTCACCTGCGCAATAAGTCCGTCCGTGACATTTCCCGGCTACTAAATATTCCGCCGCGGTCGCCTGTTACTGGGATTATAACAAAGTGGAAGTAGTATACAAAAAATGAAATGGAGGGGGGAGGGGCGCGGTGTTTTATGGGGTCGATGACTGTGACTTTATATTGCTCTTCCTCGGATGGTAATTATACAATAAATAAGTACAGAGAACGCGGCTCCAGAAAGTTCCTAGTTTTGTCTCTCACGCGTTTGGCTGGTTCCGGTAAGACGGGTGATTCCGGTTTATTTTCTCAGATCTTGTGATTTGGAGTTATTTTTATACGTTTTGTTTCAGGGAGAATCCCGAAGATTCCGTCCATCACATAAAAGATCTTTCCTCTTATTATCCGTATTTTGTCTCTTTGGCTCCCCGATGGTCATGTGATCTGGAGTCATTGTGTACCATTGTGTCTGACAACACTTCCCCTCCCGTGTTTTCCCTGCGCCGGGGTGGGGTCACCTGTGACTAAGAAACTAATTGTATGATAATAATATGTGCAGAATAGCCCGGGGTGTGACCGGTCCTGATAACAATACGCAGTGCAGAATGATCCCAATATATAATGAATCGGCCCCGCGTGAGGAGGAACTCGGAGCCGAGAACACCAGGAGGACTCAGCGCCCGGCCCGTAAGTGTCACATGGGAATTGTTTATAGACATTCAACTTTAACCAGTCAGACCCTCTGTCAGGTTTCTATTGCTGTCCCCCTCAGAGGGACTGAGGACAGGAAGTGAAGGGAAATCTCTTCCGTAGGTACAGAGACTGCAACAATGTTTTTTTTTGTTAATTTGTATTTGATGACAGAGAGGAAAGAGTTCAAACTGTTACAATGTTTTCATTGTTATCGGAGTCTTGTCTCCAGGCGACACCAGTGACCTTCATTCCTGTCCTGGTGTCACCAGGAGAGGAAGTGAGTGGAAATCTCCCTTATGGAGTCACAGAAAAACAATTCAAAACTGGCAGAAGTTTCAGTTCTTCTCCACACCTCAAATAAAAGGTTTGGTCTGGAGTCGGGCTGGAGACGAGGGTGGGTCCGCGGGGTCGGGAAAGGTGGACATTTTACAATGAGCCCCAGTTACACCTTTCTGCGTGCATTCAGATATACAGTATATATATATATGTTGTAATGTGTTGCAGCATTAAGGCATCTCATTCACTTTAAACTAGGGACGCACCGATACCACTTTTTTAAGACCGAGTACGAGCACCGATACTTTTGATCAAGTATTCGCCGATACCAATTACCGATACTTTTTCTTAAAGGGACAGGTCAAATTTTTTCTAAAGCAATACAAACTAATGCTTTAAGGTCGCTTTCTTAATATTATGATTCATGAGATGACGAGGGAGCATGACGCCGGCTTCCCGGGCCAATCAGAATGCCGGGCGCTGCGTCATTACACGGATTTGCTAGCTTCCTGACCAATCGGGAAGCCGGGCAGCGCGTCATTGCACGCTACCCGGCTTCCTGATTGGCCGGGAAGTCGGCTCCGTGCTCTCTCATCACAAATGAAGAGAGAGCATGGAGCCGTTTCCCGGCCAATCAGTAAACCGGGCAGCGTGCAATGACGCGCTGCCCGTCTTCCTGATACGGGAAGTACCCGTGCTAGGCATCGGAGCATTTGGGCGAGTACGAGTACTCACCCAAATACTCGGTATCGGTGCATCCCTACTTTAAATGATAAGTTGATGATCCTTATTGCTGAAAAAGATGTCTCTGCACTATTTTGGGCAATATGTGACACCACAACATACAAAACATTCCCATCTGGGTGCTGTGGTATGATATTGCGCAGGTCTGGGGGGGGGGTTTATGTATATGATTGTTGGGGTTCCATTCAGAATCGTTGTCATCGTATACAATGCAATCCAATGTAATATGAGATAACGCAATACCAAAGCGTGAATGGGACCTTGCGTAGCGCTCATATTCCATGTTGGCTGCGAGGCTGCTGGAGAGATTGTAATCACGTATTGGTATGAGGATGAGAACTCAGGTATACAAGAGAAATACGTTCAGGAAAATAATGTTGGGCTGAGAAAAGGAAAAATACGTTTTCAGTCTCGTCCTGATAGCAGAAGAAAGTTCAGCGAATATGTTAAGTCATAACTTTACACTTGGCACAATGCAGTCAGGCAAGTACCGTTGCCCTGGCAACCGCCAAACCCAGACACGCCCATCGGATTGCCAGACAGAGAAGCGTGATTGGTCACTCCAGAGAACACAGACAGCAAAAATAAATATAACTAAATAAACGGACAGATTTTTAACCTTCCCCAACTCCATACAAAACCTTAAATAAAAGTTTCGACTCTTCAGTGTCCTCTAAGATCTCCAGGAGTTTCATTCCGCATCTTATTTTGTTATTTTTTGATTTGTTGGGGAGATTTTATTTGTTTTCATTGAAATAAAGGACAAATAATAGTCAGAAGAGTCCATTTCAAGTAAATCAAATGATCTTTGGGGTTTATTATCTCAGATTGGGGGTTATTATCACAGTTTGGTGGTTATTATCTCAGATTTGGGGTTTATTATCTCAGATTGGGGGTTATTATCACAGTTTGGTGGTTATTATCTCAGATTTGGGGTTTATTATCTCAGATTGGGGGTTATTATCACAGTTTGGTGGTTATTATCTCAGATTTGGGGTTTATTATCTCAGATTGGGGGTTATTATCACAGTTTGGTGGTTATTATCTCAGATTTGGGGTTTATTATCTCAGATTGGGGGTTATTATCACAGTTTGGTGGTTATTATCTCAGATTTGGGGTTTATTATCTCAGATTGGGGGTTATTATCACAGTTTGGTGGTTATTATCTCAGATTTGGGGTTTATTATCTCAGATTGGGGGTTATTATCACAGTTTGGTGGTTATTATCTCAGATTTGGGGTTTATTATCTCAGATTGGGGGTTATTATCACAGTTTGGTGGTTATTATCTCAGATTTGGGGTTTATTATCTCAGATTGGGGGTTATTATCACAGTTTGGTGGTTATTATCTCAGATTTGGGGTTTATTATCTCAGATTGGGGGTTATTATCACAGTTTGGTGGTTATTATCTCAGATTTGGGGTTTATTATCTCAGATTGGGGGTATTATCTCAGATTGGGGGTTATTATCTCAGATTGGGGGTGTTACCTCAGATTGGGGGTTATTATCTCAGATTTGGGGTTATTGTTTCTCTTTCTCATTTCCTGTCTGTAGGTCTGTCCTCAGTCTTCAGTCTTTCGCAATGATGACCCATTTTGTCCTCTCCTGGGCCGTGTGGGGTCTCCTTACCATGGCGGTTGATGTCTACTCCTTCAGCACAGCAACATCCAAGCCCACCGCCCGCCCCGGATTTAGCGGTCGCCCTTTCATGGTGGCGTGGAACGCTCCCACTCAGAACTGCCGCCTTCGTTACAATGTGTCTCTTGACCTTCGACTCTTTGACCTCAACTCGTCCCCTAGTGAGGGTGTTGTGGACCAGAACCTCACCCTCTTCTACAAGGAGCGCCTGGGGCTCTACCCGTACTACGACGAGCACAATGTATCCATCAATGGAGGTGTACCCCAAAACACCAGTCTGTGGGCTCACCTGCTCCAGATGGTGGTTGGGATCAACAAATACATACCATCGGCTAATAAAAAAGGACTTGGGGTCATTGACTGGGAGGAATGGCGACCCAATTGGATTCGGAACTGGCAGATGAAGGACATATACAGGCAAGCATCACGGCAGCTGGTGGCCTCTCGTCATCCAGACTGGACGCCCAAAGAGGTGAACAAGGAAGCTCAGTATGAATTTGAAACCTCCGCCCGTCAGTTCATGGAAGAAACGCTGCGAAATGCCAAACGTGTTCGGCCGCTCCAGCTCTGGGGGTATTACCTGTTCCCGGATTGCCACAACTACCTGACCAACTGGGACGGTTATACCGGCAAGTGTCCCGAGGTGGAGATGTCACGTAATGACCAATTATGGTGGATGTGGAAGGAGAGTACCGCCCTTTACCCGTCCATCTACCTGACCCCCTCTCTCAACTCTTCTGTGAACGGGCGCAAATTCGTTCACTACCGGGTGAAAGAGGCCATGAGGGTCGCTCTACAACACACGGGATACTCGCTCCCCGTCCTCGTGTACACAAGACCCACCTACAAAGAAGACCTCAACCTTCTCTCCCAGGTGAGACGACACAATGAGCAACAACAACTGAAAGATCTTCCGCTCAGCCAATAGTGTTCTTCTAACACATCTGAGGGATCAGCTCCACCTACAAGGACCGGGAAGGTGTAAGGGTTGGACCAAACAAATCTATGGGCAGTCCAACAACCTACACAACCCCCATTACTCCTAACAGTAAAGAGCTGAATCAACGTCCTGATCACCCTGGAACAGCTTTAATGTAATATTTGTATACGTTCTTCTCTAGAAAGTCTACCTCAGAGTTACTTCATCCTCATGTGTTGCTCCACAACCTGCGTAAAATGTTTCCATTATATGATGACATTTCTTCAGATAAATGGCCGGTTCCAACTCATTTTGGGGATGGGATTCTCTATGTGATCCATTTGATTTACGATTCCAGTATTTGTATTTTCTACCCTCAGATGGATCTCATCTCCACCATCGGCGAGAGCGCTGCACAAGGGGTGGCGGGGGTGATATTTTGGGGTGGTGCTGAATACGCCAAGAACAAGGTGAGTGTTCCAAGGTCATTTATGATTTGAGGGATCTGATGGAAGCAGCTCATGAATTGGTTGACCATCTCATAGGCTTCCCCGGACATTATCCCATCACCTATGGAATCTCCTGACTTTGTTCTGCCTGCTATGCCATGTAACCCTCTGTACTATAATGGTATGGCCCATGCTTCCTATTTCTTCCCTAGCAGGTGTTGGTATAATCCACTTCAGCCACCATGTGCCACCAAAGCACGGCCCTCCTGGGATCAGTCTACAGTCCCTTTCCTTTCCAGAAGCCTTATGGGAATTCAAACCTCCAAAAATAGCTGTGAAATTCAGAGTTGGGCATCTCAATCGGTGAAATTCAGTCTGAATTTAACATCAAAAATTCAGGAACATGTCCAGTGGGGAGTGATGTGTGTGTGCCGAGTGTTACCCTGATGTCAGGATCCATAGTGGGATCTCTACAAACCTTTCTAATCTTCTTCTCCTCCCCACAGAAAACCTGCCAGACGATGAAGACGTTCCTGGATGAAGATTTGGGTGAATACATTGTGAATGTCACCACCGCGGCCTCTCTCTGTAGCCAGGCGCTCTGCGGTGGAAAAGGACGATGTCTGCGCAAAGATAATTTGACCGACGCCTTTCTTCACCTCAACCCGGGCAACTTCCGCATCGTGAGGGCACCTTCAGGGTCCAATGCGTCCGTTCCAATGTGGGCGGAGGGCCAGCTGTCATCAGAGGACATCGCACTTCTACATTCTCAGTTTCAATGTCAGTGTTACCTGGCCTCACCTGGAAACACCTGCGGCTTTCAGAATCGTATGTACAATGGTGCCGAATCCGCGGGGTCCTCCATGGACCACTCACAGTCCTGGGGATTAATGGTTCTCCTGCTGATGCTGCTGGAATGGTGATACATCTGTGGGACACTTTAGCTCAAGGAGAACCTCAGGAGGGGTAGAGCCAAATGATTTCCAAACTGCAGCATCAAAATGGATTCCAAATGTAGCATTAAAGTGCACCTGTCATGAAAGAAATACTGGGGCTGTCACAGCTGACCTCCTACTGAAATTTCTACCTGCCTGGATCTTGTTCTGACTCTTCAGTATTCAATGAGTCCTGGACCTGAAACAAGCATGCTGATAAAGTCAGGAGCTCCTATCTGCATCTTGTTCTGGGTCCATGACTCAAAGTATTGAAGCCAGACATCCAGAAACATAAAACTACGGGTGAGGAGGGGGGTAGGGGGTGGTGGAGAGGGGTGGAATGGGTGGT